TTCCCTGATGTGTTTGACACTAATTATCCATTAGGTGTTAATTAAAGAGAAGTAAATCCAGACTAGAGATCTGTTAACTAGGAAACACAAGACAGTCATTAAAGCCATTTATAGATATTACATTTTTCTACATATAATCTGGACTACAGCTGTCACTGTACCTATGTGGAGGTCTGTAGTCCAAATTAAAATTGGCTCCAGTCTGAATTAATTTTAATTTTCATTCAATGAAGATTAGTTAATGCAGGCTAGGGTAGTCCAAAATAGGCAATTTAAAACTGTATTAATTAACATGTATATGCATCTCCAGCTTGCTGTTGCTTATGCCCAGCACCAGGCGTAGCAAGTGAATGCAGTTTTGTGGCCCTGATTGGGAGGGGTGGGCAGTGTCCAGCCCCTGCTGTCTCTACTGCAGAAGTGCACAAAAACCTCCCTGATGGTCAGTGATCATCTACTAACCCTGAATTTGAACTAAAATTTGATTCAAACTGTATGATGCGAATCAGTTCAGAGAACGGTGAGCACATCTACAAATGGCCTAAAATTTGACTGGTCTAGACTGAAATCCAGTACCGGTTTACTACATGTCGTAACTTCAGCAGCAAGAGAGCGCAGAGATTGCTCTGGGTACGTCCAAACTCTGGCCTGGATTCAACACATGGATACACCAAAACAAAGTGAACGGTTTAGAGCATCATCCCAGCAAGTGAGGCGGTGGGTGGGTCACAACCTCTTTAGATTTAAGGCCCCCCTGGAAATGCCAGTTCATTCATTTTTTGAGGACAGAAACAACACTTGAGCAATTCCTCTGCTGCAAAAACCACAGCGGAGCAGAAAGTTTTTAACACTGTGGACTCCTGTTTGAAACCTCTGGGGCGATCTTATGAAGCGTCTACCAGTGCCAACGCCGCGCGGTACCCCCAGCTTAGAATCGCTGCCCGGCGCCAGAGCCGGGGGCTCCACCCTTCTCGACTCCAGCGGCCCTTGGAAAACGCCCGCTCGGGGCTTTCCTCGGTTTGGAGAGGACAGACAGACACGAGCGCATCTTCCCTGGGGCTTTCACCCATGAGGATCTCTGGGTTGGTCTCGGAAGCCTGCCCGCACCCTGCAGGGACCTCGAGACCCGCCGCCCCCGAGTCTGACGGCAGCCAGGGGCGTCCCTCAGCCAAGGGGGGTAGCTCCGCGCACCCCAAGAGCTCGGAGCGGAGCCCCCAGGCGCCGAGAGGCGGGGACGCCGCGCCCGGCCCGGCACGGCACGGCCCGGCTGCGAGAGGCGGC